CAACGCACTCCAATTAGGTGTCCCCGTCACATCGTTCTTTATCTGCTCCATCGCCCGGAGATTTAACGACACGCCAAAGTCCGACAGCTTGACATTGCCAGTCTTAGTCGTCAAAATGTTCGCAGCCTTGAGATCACAATGGACAACCTAAGAGATGAGATCGTTGAATGTCAGCCACGGGGCCACGGAAAGCAAGACATGACGCACGTCTGACGAATGCAAATAATGCAACCCTTCAAGGACCTTAGTCACATAACTCGCAACCAGCCCCTCATTGAGCTTCCCGAATACCTTCAACGTTTGTGCCAACGACCCGTTCTCCGCATACCTGTTAAAGATTCAAAGTCAATCACAAAGGAGAAAAGAGTAGAAAATGCTACGCACTCAAGCACAATACTCAGGGTATCCGAGTCCCTCGCCATCCCCTCATACTTCACAATACTCGGATGCGACAGCCGCTTCACAGTTTCCACCTCATGCATAAGCTGCTTAATTTCCGTCTCGGACAGCCCCTCCAGCCTGATTCGCTTCACCGCCACCGCCTGCCCCGTATTGAGGTTCAACGCGCGGTACACCGACCCAAACTGCCCTCGCCCAATGCAGTTGCCCAATTGCTAAAACAAAGTGTCAGTCAGATCAACAACAATGAAATGAAGAAAAGCGCAGTGCCACTCACATAATGCGTGGCCGGCTTTCCCTCCTCCTTAATGATCAACGTCTGCCTCACCGCGCTCCCATCCATCCCCCCAACCACCGACGAAGGCTGCTCCCCCTTCCCATTCGCCGCCCCCATATGCATCATACTCTCATGCCTCTTCCTCCCGACAGCAAGCGGTGAGGACGCCCTCTTCTGTAACTGCTGCTGATCGCCAAACGAGCTCCTCCTCTCCTTCTCTAGTCGCATCCTCCCCTGCAACGGCCCCAGCACACTAATCGCCCCAATGCTCTCTACATTACTACTCCCTTCCTTCACCTCCACTCGCTGCTGAGTTTGAGTTTGCTGCACCTGCGGCACAACCTCACCCGACACGCTCCTCGGAAACGGCACCACCGCAGGCCCCAGCAGCCCATCCCTCTCCTCGCTCTTCGGCCTAGGCGCATACCGCCCTGACGTCGTCCTCTTCGGGCTAATAGGTCGACTCGCCAGCCCACTGCCAGTGCCATCCCCATTCGTCGGACTGGGCTCGCGATCGCGATCGACGGCGGCACCGTGACGACTGACACTGTCCTTCGGGAGAAGCGCCTCCTTAGGCAACAGCACATCCGAACTCTGCCTCGACGAGCGCCGCCGCACACGTACAGGCGTAGGCTTAATTGGCTCGATCCCCTCCGACGTCACAGAAGACTCCATCTCGGACGCGCGCCGCACGTCCGTCTTCGACGGCGAGGTCGAGCCCATCCGATTAGTAGAGGTTGAAAAGAATTGCGGTATGTCAATAGATCCGGACTCGTCGAGACTTTCGAATTCTTCAGAAGTTGAGATCCAAGCTACTAAATTTCAGATCCATAAATAGTAGAAAGTATGAAATGCAGACACCTACTACCGTCCTCGACCTTAATGCTAGGCTTTACGCTGTACAAATTAGCCATGAATTCCTCAATCGTCCTGGATTCCTAGAATCGACCATAAGAAGGCTTCAAGAGGCTTCCATCAATTCAGGCTTGAACTTACTAGCAAAGGAAATGCGGAAAGGTCGCTGTGATGCGCCACAGCCAATTCAGCATCCGAATCCTAGACGATAGTTAAGGGGGTGTAGATCCACCAGCAAACATCGCAGCAGGGCATACCTCAAGCATATAAAGAAGCAGTACCGAAAGAGGATCAGAAATCTATGAGTGTATCGGGACCAGTAATTAATCCCCACTAAACTTATATTAAGAAATAACATACTTCATCTAGAATGCCTTCACCGACTTTCGGTTCCTGCCTTCTTGAAGAGGGTGATGTACTAATATCTTCGGCAGAATCAAATGGTTCCGCTATCGATTCTGTACTGGCACCGTGCTTTCGGCTAGTACTGCGTTTGGAGGACGAAGCTTTTGAAGAACCGCCGTTGGACGATGAACCAGCTCTTGAGTGTTCCGAGGATGAAAACCAGCTGAAAAATCCTCGAGAAGAAGACGAACTTCCTGATTCGTTAGAGGGAGAACCCGGATCACCGTCTTCCTCGTCACTGCTACCTCTTTTGGAGGAGACATCTCGTGTATCTGCGCCGTATTCAGGGGATTCCAGAGGTTCACATAAATGCATAGCATCGGTTATAAGCAAACGCTTGCGTTTCTTTCTCCGTAATGCATCTATCAATCCTCGTGTCACTACTTTGCAGCCTCGAACGAAAAGGGGTTGATCCAGGTCTCCAGTTGGCCTAAACCATGACAGCCTTCAGCATTTGAATTCATATATAATACTTTGAGAAATATACATACCTATTCGGACCCCAATTCTTCCTATGGATGGCAGTTCCCGAGTCCCTTATCGCCGCAGAAAACTGGCCGTTGGCAAAGCCAGCTGCTCCAACTTTGATCTCTATGTCTGTTTGGATTTCGCTCGTTTTAATGACGGCATTGGCCCAATGACTTCCATAATCACAGCCAGTCACCAGGATAATTTGATGGAGGTCGACGTCAAAGTGATCTTCTCTCCTGGCTTTATTGTACCACTTGCGATAATTTTGGCACATGATTTTCTTAAAGTAAAGAACATTAGAAGCATCTTTACTCTCTCCAGGCTCAGATAAAGTGAGAATTGCTCCGAATTCTTTGAAGCTACTGTAGTTGATCCCGGCTCCGATGTTTACAGCAGGTCTATAAAGACAAACTTCAGTCTACTGTGTACTTATTGAAAGTTAATAGTGAAATAGATCTCACCCCACTGTGAAAGAACCCTCGACGCCGAATTCCTTAGATTGAATGTTTGAACTTTTCAAAGGCTCGTCGGCCTTGATCGAGCTCTTCTGGATGCGCCGTTGAATCTCAGGATCGTCTAGCTTGGCGATCTCAACCCATTTTCCCCTGTTAACGAAACCAATACTTCCAATCTCTGGCACCGTTTCCGGCGCAAGATGATCGGCTTCCCATAACGCGTGTCCCATTTCCATCTTGGACAGCCCAAAAGCTTGTGCATATAATACTGTGACATCATTTGTGGACATTTTGAACATTTGATAAGGGTTACGGCCACGATAGACGTTAGAAAAAGCCCTCTGACTGGAAGAAAGGGAGAGGGAAGGGGGGTTGGGTTGGGTGAAGCGTCCTTGGGGGTCAAAGGACAGGCTCTCAAGAGGTAAGGATAGGATATATACATAGGATCTTGCATTTCTAAGGTGAACTTCTTTTCATATCTGCCAGTAGTGGAAATTAGTCTACACGCAGCAGGATGTCAACATTCACATGACTTACAGCGCAAATTAGCCATGTGAAAATTAGCTATGCGCCAGGCTGTGAAAGAACTTGTGCTTGATTGCAACTTTTTCCTAATGATCTCAAGCACTGCATTCCAAATATTCAAGCACTGCATTCCAAATATTCAAGCACTGCATTCCAAACATTCAAGCATTGCATTCCAAACATTCAAGCACTGCATTCCAAATATCACCAGAGGCTAATACTCCCTCTGCAGATCATACGCCGTACGCACAACCTGCTCTGTATGAAAGGTTGTTGGATACAGCCTTCGCTAATCAGTCGATGCGGACAAGACAATGCTATGACTTCGTTGCGTGAGAAAGGAAGTAAGTATGGTAAAAATACATGATGATGAAAAAGGTACCTTCGTTGCGTGAGAAAGGAAGTAAGGGGCAACGAAGGAGAAATTGAGTTTTTAAGGTCCGAATGCGTATGTAATTGATGTTATGTAATTGTATGCGTGTCGTAAGCTGCGGCCAGTCTTACACTGTAGATGCATTAGGGTCAGCCAAAGTTTCGACAGATATTCCCAATGCCACGCTCACATTCTGTAGAGAGGTAAATGGCCCGACCTAGGTTCTGTAGCGCATATCCTAGCCTATGATCTGTAGATGGTATACCCACAGAACGCTCGCCAGGGGACCTACAGTATGTGGCCCACTGCTCATTTATACACGTCATCTGCAGGCCAGACCCTCCACCTATCTGTGGCGTCTGCAGGTCAGGAATGCGGAGTATAACCCTAGGATCTGTAGAGAGCCTATCGCCGCAACCTGCTGGTCTGTGTACAGGCTTATATAATGTATATATACTATATATGTATCGTAGAAACAGCCTAAATAGCGTATTTAAGCATATATGGCCTCGCGCAGGCCCTGTAGCACATAATGAAACCCTCGCATAACCTACAGTCTGTAGACGGTATCATCATCGAGGGCTGGCGGAGGCTCTGCAGTACAGAATAAAGTACGGGCGGCCTACGGTCTGTAGACAACATCGCCACCCATTGGCTCTATGTGGCGTCTGCAGGTCGGGAGCGTCCAGAATAGGCCTAGGATCTGTAGGGAGGCGATCACATACGTGGGGGCTGGCGCAGGCTCTGTAGCACATACTAAAAATATGGGTGCTCTATGGTCTGTAGACAGCATCGCCATTGAGTCGCTATACATGGGGTCTGCAGCTCTGAACAGTCCAGGATATGCCTAGGACCTGTAGAGAGCTGATCCCGTCAAGGTAGTGTGACTGCAGTTTGGTTTGAAAAGCAGTTCGAACACTGAACCGCTCTGGACCGAACATATTGTCCAGTTCAGTTTAGTTCAGTTCGCCCGAATTTTTAGCAGGTCCGGTTCAAGGTTCGGTCATGTATTGATTTTAGTGACTGGTTTGAACCGGTTTGGAACCACTCTGAACCCATAATTATTCATTGTTTCTTCTCAGTCAATTTTCTGTATTTTTCAGTCAAGTTGTGCGAGGACTATTCCCTTTCATTTGCTGAGGCTATTTTTGGAATGCGCAGCAGAAGCACAAGGCACATCATGGGAAGTCGTGCAAGCACTATTCCCTTTTGTTTGCTGAGGCTATTTTGTTGAAAAGATTGGACTGGCCCAGGAATCAAACCTAGGACCATCTGTAATCTAGACTAGACACTTTACCACTAAGCCACCAGCCCTTGGTGCTAAGTAGTCAAGTCAACTCCATATGTCCTTAAGGCTATACACATATGCCACTATTCATGGGAAGCAGTCACAATATGCACTACTCCAAAGCTGAGTCTAGACTGTCTAATCAGCATGTATTGACTTTCAGCTCACTTGTACTTATTAAGGCCTTATCAGTGCAGTGCTAGTGATCAGTTCAGTCCATGTGCATTCAGTTCATCATACACCAACAACTGAATATGAAAGGTACTGTTCCTCGTTTTAGCTGATATATTGGAAGAAATTTTGAATTCCAGGGTGACCACAAGGCTATGTAGTGACACATTGGTCTAATCCAGCTGTTTTTCCATCCAGTTCAAGTGTGTTCCGCTGATTATTAAACTAAAAATTGATCTTATCATCACAAAAAGCCTTATTATTCAATATTTTGGGGTAGCTAAAAGACTATGGGGCAAATAAGGGCTGCAACAAAGCAGGTTCAGCCTACCTGGGCAGGTACATCTATAGTGCAGGACACTTAGACACTGCTACTTTGTATAGTGGCTGTGCAGCAGTGGAATTGTCTCGAGAAAAATTCTAACCCTAAATGTAACCCTAGTCTGTTAGCCAACACCTTGCTAGCCTCCATAGATACTGCAAAAATAGACTCTGATTCATAACACATCAGGAAAATAGGGGGAAAGCTCTTGCATCTGTCCTACTCCATGCAATCTGGAGGTGGGAACACTGAATGGACCACTGGCTGGAAGCATATGAAAAGAGTCTGGGAGCCAACATCAGGAAAGTTGACACAGGCGGCTAAATGCCTATCTAGCTCGTCGATGTGCTAGATAGTGCTACCTTGGCTAGGACTGCTAGGGCTCGCTAAGGATCGGTAAGCTCTCCCCCTCTCCTTCTCTCATGTTATATTTTTACGCAGACTGTGAAGTGCAGGTTCAACAAGTCACGTGCAGTTCTCACCACCTTCATCTCTCCAAGTTACACTGTATAAGTGGAACCACTGCTACAACCTCTCTCTACTGAACTGCACAGCGAACTATGATCTCCATCATATCTATTCTAACGTGCTTACGATTATAGCACCGCCTATACCATCTGGAACTCCTGAGATTGAGTCCTCAAATGTTTCTCTACAAGCAATCTGACCTTCCTGTCAGATGTGCCCTTACGCTCTCGTCTCGTTGTCTCTTGCGTCTGGTATCTTGCCTGGTATACTGGTTTATGTTTGATCTCTCTTTCTGCTGTCTATCTGTCTGGTTTATCGAAGACTTTCTTTGGCTAATTGGCTCTTTGTTGACTGTCGATGTGGACTCACAAGGTTAGGCTTAGGAGATTGTCGGGAAGTCATTGTGTTCGGTTGGTTTTCAATAATGGTACGTTGTATTAACACTTTAATCAGCTATAAGGGACTAATCATAAATGCCATATCTAGGTCATTTGGTCTTACAACAAACTCAAGATCCTTGGAAGATTTCAGGTATGGCTGTTGTGTGCAGATGGCCACCAGCCAATAACCATAGTATTACTTGTTATATTCTTCAGTTATTACCATCGGTGTATGTACCTTAGACATCTATATAATATATTAAAATCCCGTTACTTTTAAATTCGAAAAATATAAATTAAATATATTGAGCTAGATAGCTAGAAGCCCTAGGTGGTTCAGTGTTGAGCTATATAGAACTAGCTAGGTGCTGATCGGCAACCCAACTATGTCGGCAAAGCTCTCGTTAAGCATGCTAGGGCTACTAGGCAACAGCGGATTCGCTAAACACACTAGGCAGGTACCTACACCACCTAGCACTACCTAGACTTTGTCAGATTTCGTGATGAAGGAGGCAGAGGAGCAAGTTCGTAAATCCAGTTCATGCCAATATACCTCTCATCAATGGGTCCCAGAGACCTCTGGAATTTGATAACTTGCATGTAATTAGCTGAGTTTCCATATTTGGAAGGTGTGGCAGAATTGGGTCCTTACAAAAAAAAATCTCACTCAGTTTTGAGAATTTCAGGAATCCATCTAGTAGTTTTGTTTCTAAGTCTAATTGAAGTGCTTTTACAAGAGGGATAAGAAATCTGATGACTGTAGCTGAAGTCTAATTTGCTATACAAAAGTGGTGTCTAAGTGTCTTGCACCATAGTTTATCAGTCTAGTTTATCAAAATTATTAATTGTTGATGCCCATAAAAAGCAAACAGAACCACTAAATTAGGCTTTTTTTATTGAATTATTTGGGGCAATGAATGATTCTAGGGTGATTCAAAGTTCCCATTGATAGAGAATGCCTTTTTGGTGAGGCAAGGCTTGTGGGATGAAATTGCTATAAAAGGTGAGCAAGTTATTCAAAAAATTTAAGCATCTACTGACCCTCATTGCAATGTCCAATGCTGCAGTCCTCTCCTCTGTCCAAACAGACAATGTGATGTCCCCAGGCCTCAGTGTGACCCTCTCTCTCTCTCTAGTGAAGCCTCAACTCTAGCATGCATTGATGACTTTGACTTCTATGCATCAGAGAACAACAACACCCCCTTAATCACCAAAGGGTCATTGACTGAGGATGCCTAGTGAATAATTTGTGTGGTCATCAGCTTTGCAAATGTCCTTTGCCTGTTGAGAAGGTCGCTGGTGCCTGTCAGCCTGTCAACACTCAAGGTGGTGCAAGTTCCAAGAAATATACTTCTGATGGTACAAAGGCAGGCCTTCCTGCAAAAAGATCAAGGAGGGCTGGTGCAGGCCCTCTAGCACATATCAACAATACGGTGGCCCATGAAGACAGCATCACCACTGAGCTGCTATGGATGATGTCTGCAGCTCCAGATGGTCCAGGAGACACCTAGGATCTGTAGAGAGCTGATCCTGTCAGAGAGGGCTGGTGCAAGCTCTGTAGCACATACTAAGAATATGGGTGGCCTACAATATGTAGACAGCATTGCCGTTGAGTCACTATACATGATGTCTGCAGCTCCAGACAGTCCTGGATATGCCTAGGATCTGTAGGGAGCTGATCCTGTCAGGGAGGGCTAGTGCAAGCTCTGTAGCACATAATATGAATACGGGTGGCCTATGGTCTGTAGAGAGAGCATCACCATTGAGTCACTATACATGATGTCTGCAACTCCAGGTGGTCCAGGATACACCTAGGACATGTAGAGAGCCAATCCCATCAGGGAGGGCTGGTGCAGGCTCTGTAGCACATACCAAGAATACAGGAGGTCTACAGCACCCATAAATCAGGTATTTAAGTAGATATGGCTTTGAGTAGGCTCTGTGGTGCACAATGAACCCTATGAACAGCCTGTGGTCTGAAGACAGTATTGCCACTGAAGGCTGGCTCAGGCTCTGTAGCACAAGGTAAATGGTACAGGGGGCCTATAGTCTGTAGACAGCATGGTACCTACAGTCTATGCGCCAAGAAATAACATATACAAAGCATCTCAGGCTGATGCCCACTAACTTCCTGCTATGCACCTCTAGGTGACCTCTACCCCCTATATACAGCATCCATTACAACCTCCGATACACCTCTATCCCCTATATATAGTGTACCATACAACCTCTGATACTACTTCAGAACTATATGCCTTCCTGTCCTATGCCACCACACACACACATCTGGAGTCTGTAGAGTGCTGACCTTGAATCCTATGTCTGGAATCCCTAGCTCTCCATACAACCCAAGGCTACACCATATGCCTGCAGTGTAGAGGAGGGCAATCATGGTGTAAAGACTATCTCTTTACTATGTTAGTTTATCACACCTGTGCTAGCAGACTGTTTACAACGTGTGTATTCAGGATACTAGATAGTACAGGTATAGGTGACAACTGGTCAGTGCTAGTTGCCAACCCAGGATTATATACAATTATGTTATGTAATCTACCATATTTTAGGTAATAATATTATGTACTAAGTGAATGTGTATATGTGTCCATAAGGGTCCATAACGACTTGAAAAAAGATTGATGTGAAGTGAATCACTTATATACATATATAACGTGGATGCATACATGCATCCATATAAGTCAATAATGACTTAGGTTGAGAATAATCAGGGATTGGCAATGGCAATCTCTTGCAATTACCTTCAGTCAGTATTGCAGAGACTGCCCAACTTGTTTTTTGGATAGTCGAGATTGCTGGAATGAGGACCTCAACACTTGCAAGACTTGTGATGACCATAGGAAAGCTAGACAAGCAGCTAGAATCACAATTACAATTCCTCCCACCAAACTCTGTGGTTTATGCAAGAAATATGTCTCCAGGGATTCACTCCAAGATACCAACAGGAACCTGACTCACAAACACTGTCCAAAATGTCAAAAGTGTGAATACTGCTCTGGTTGTCAGAAGGTAAAGTGAAGACTTGAATTCAAAAAACTGATTGGCAATAGAGCATAATGGAAGACCTGCCAGTCATGTTGAGAGCTGGGTCAAAAGAGAGTGTATGATAAGCATGAAGAAGCGCATAGGTTAGGTCAGTTGGTTTGAACTTTGAATAATTATTTTACTTATCATAAGTCCTAGGAAAACGGTGGTGCAATGGGTGCCACAAGCAGGTTGAAATAAATGACTGCCATGGCCCTGATGGATATCTTAGAGCTATGTGTCAACTTTGTACACTTGCCAACACACCCATCTGAATGTTGAAAAGGAACATGATGTAGCCAAAAATAAAGAGACTGAAGGAGTGGAAGAGATACTGCCTGATGAGTACAACATTCTTTTGGACCAGGAAGATTTCATTGAAATTGATATCTCCAAAGAATCTGCTATTCTGGCACCAGATGCAAAAAAGATTGCCAAGATGAATGCAAAACTTGCTGAATGGGAACAATGCCATCACTGCAATGAGGCTGATTTTGACAGGGATATCAAGGATGCAAAATGTGCAAGATGCTGAAGAGACAAGGCTTCAGTGAATAAATTTGGGGCAGAGAATAACATGTGCCCAGGTTTGTTTGTTTTTATAGACTCTGGTATTCCTGCTAACAAAGAACTATAGGAATCATGC